TACTTTATTTTTGTCTTAGATTGCAGACACTAGTATCATTAGTTTAGTACATTTTACACAAATTAGTGGACAGTGAGATTTTTATTTTCTTTAAAAGCATTTTTAAAATGTATTTATTTGAGAGACAGAGAAGCATTGATTTGTTGTTCCACTTATTTATACATTCATCGGTTTCTTCTTCAGTCCTGGCCTGAGATTGAAACCTCACCCTTGGTGTATCGGGACATTGCTCTGATCAGCAGAGTGACCCGGCCAGGGCTGACAGTGAGACTTTAAAAGAGGAAACATTGTAGCCTTTGTTTATAACATTCTTTCTTGGCATTGAGTGTTGTTTTAGAAAGCCATCTCCATCTTTTTCTTGGACTATTGCATTCATTGCTAACTGGCTCCCTGCTTTTACCCTTGCCCACCCATAGTCCCTTTTCCTTGAGTCAGCCAGACATCCTATATAATGAAGAGGTGATACGCAAATTGACCATCATGCCCTCACACACAAGATGGCCACCCCCATGTCCTCACAAGATGGCCACCCCCATGTCCTCACAAGATGGCCAGCAGGGGAGGGAAATTGGGAGCAATCAGGCCAGCAGGGGAGGGAAGTTGGGGGTAACTGGACCATCAGGAGAGGGCAGTTGTGGGCGATCAGGCAAGCAGGCGAGAGGTTAGGAGCCAGCAGTCCCAGATTGTGAAAGGGATGTCTGATTTCTGGTTTTGGCCCAATCCCATAGGGGTCAGGGTCCCAGATTGGAGGGTGCAGGCTGGGCTGAGCGATTCCCCCCCACCCTGTGCATGAATTTTGTGCACTGGGCCTCTAGTGAAGACATAAATGATATAAGGCATATCATGTCACTCTTCTGCTCAGTGATGTCACTCAATAGCTTGAAACCATCCAATGACCTTGCTTCTCACATAGTGGAAACCAAAGTCCTCTGACTGCCTTTGAGACACTGGGCAATTTTACAATTTCTTCCTCACATCCTTCAGGATTTTGCACCTTCAGAAAGGTTTGCCTGATAATTCCAATTAGTATTGAATGCATGCACACGCACATACACACCAAAACAGACACACACATACAAAGTTACGCTGTCTTGCCATTCTCATCCTATCACTCTTCCCATAACACCCATGTGGTCACAGGATGGCCACGCCCATGCCCTCACAAGATGGCTGCACCCATGTGGTCACAAGATGGCCAGCAGGGGAGGGAAGTTGGGGGTAACTGGACCATCAGGAGAGGGCAGTTGTGGGCGATCAGGCAAGCAGGCGAGAGGTTAGGAGCCAGCAGTCCCAGATTGTGAAAGGGATGTCTGATTTCTGGTTTTGGCCCAATCCCATAGGGGTCAGGGTCCCAGATTGGAGGGTGCAGGCTGGGCTGAGCGATTCCCCCCCACCCTGTGCATGAATTTTGTGCACTGGGCCTCTAGTGAAGACATAAATGATATAAGGCATATCATGTCACTCTTCTGCTCAGTGATGTCACTCAATAGCTTGAAACCATCCAATGACCTTGCTTCTCACATAGTGGAAACCAAAGTCCTCTGACTGCCTTTGAGACACTGGGCAATTTTACAATTTCTTCCTCACATCCTTCAGGATTTTGCACCTTCAGAAAGGTTTGCCTGATAATTCCAATTAGTATTGAATGCATGCACACGCACATACACACCAAAACAGACACACACATACAAAGTTACGCTGTCTTGCCATTCTCATCCTATCACTCTTCCCATATTTTTTTGCTCTAATACATATTTCATCTGAGATAATTTAGGTTTACTTATTAACCTATCTTTACATTAGATGATACGAAACAGACACACACACACAAAGTTATGCTGTCTTGCCATTCTCATCCTATCCCTCTTCCCATATTTTTTTTTCTCTAATACATATTTCATCTGAGATAATTTAGGGTTACTTATTAACCTATCTTTACATTAGATGATACTATCTCTATGTAGAAAATTTGTATCTTCTTTGTGTGGGGCCATGTCTTCAATGATAATAGTATTCATTAACTCATTAGAAAAAAAATATTCTGTGTGTGCCAGGAACACGTTAAGTGGTGAGGCACTGATCACTGAGTAGTCATTCAATCAACCTTTCTTTTGAGTGAATGAACTACATGGAGCTGAACTGACGCAAGTGGTTTTCCACATCCCACCATCAAATGACTTTACACCTCTGCGGGACAAGCTCAAACCAGTCACAGTCCTCAAAGAAATGAGCCCAGGTCTTCCAGAAATGTGACCTTAAGACTTCAATTCTGACTTTGAAGTGAGGACAGACTGACATTTTCATGGCTACAGAGAAATACAAATATATCATATTTTGAGGAACTTAAAAAAAAGATATTCTAAAACCTCCTTTAGTAAACAGCTTCTATAACATTAATAGTTAGAAAATTCTTCTTTGAACAGAACCTAAATCTATTCCCTCTGCCTGTCTGCCTCTTCCTTAGAAGCTAGGGACCAAAACAACTTATTGTATATAACTGTACTCTAGTGTTTATATATGACGTATATTTATCATATAGCGCCTTGCACTTTGATTCAATATTGACTCATCTGCCACTGGGTATTTACCTTCTTTAAATGTGTAATTTCCAAAAACTTAATTTATCTGTGAAGCTTTGCAAAACACATGCCAACAATCCTTCATATATTCCATTTTAAGGGCCAAACTTGATAAAGAAAAAATACTATATATCTACCTTACTAATAAAAACCTCTGATAAGATTTTCCACCAATAATATATTCCAGGATTTCATTTCCTTTCTTTATCTATCCAGTACCAACTTAAGTTCATGACAGAGTACGCTGTCTGCTTCGTGAAGGAGAAATGTAGTAACAAAATAATACAATCCTGAGTAATTTCTTGATACTGTGGAAGCTTTGACAGCATGCCTCTAAGTTCTCCAACGATAAGGAGTGTAATTGATCCACTGCCCCAGATGCCACACTCAAAAGCCATCAGTGTGTTTGAGCCAAGCCCACACTTTCCACAGGCAGCTCTCAGTCAATGACTGAGCCAGGGAGGGATTTTAAGGCAGGCCAGTTCCTAGAAGGTACCAGACTCCTGTGATAGGCATTTTTAGCTGGATGACTCTCCAGTGGCCTTACCATATGACTTTACCACACTCCCCTCGATCTATACTGAAGCCCAAGTCATCTGCACCCAGATTTCCTTCCTTCCTTCTCTCCTTCATCTAAAGTAAGATCTGCATTTGGTCATCCACCTGCTGTCCTCTCTGTTTTCTTTGCTCTTCATTGCCATTAATAAATCTCTTTCATGATTAGTACTATGTTGGTATCTGCTTTCCATAGTTCCATAGTCTCACAGTACCAACAATATCATGCCACACTTTTTTCTCACTAGGCTCTAGTGTAAATCCTTAGCCAATTTTCACCCCACTTCCATGTAATTATTTGGCAAGTAAGTCAATAAAAATTATAGTTAGGTCGCAATGGAAACAATAGTGACAATTATTCTTTTTAGAATCACACTGGTAGTGTTAGTTTTCTCATGTATATTAGCTCTCAATTGATCTTTATCATCTTTAAAATGTATACTTCCTTGTATCACTGATTTCACCTATACTTTCAGGCAGTTCTTCCATGGCATTGAAATTAATTTTCAGTAAGAGTATGTAGGGAGCTTGATTTTTTTGTAATAATGGTCTTTATTCTTTATAAAAAATATATATGTTTTCAGTTATTTCAGAGAGAGGGAGGGAGAAGGAGAAAGAGATGGACACATCATGATGAGAGAGAATCATCCATTAACTGCTTCCCGCAGGCCCTCTACTGGGGATCAAGCTTACAACTGGGCATGTACCCTGACCAGGAATCAAATCATGACCTCCTGGTTTATGGGTTGACACTCTCACTGAACCACACTGGCCAGTAAGATGGTCTTTATTCTTAAATCAATATAGATTAAACTCCTAGGATCTTATTCTTATTTTCAGGTAATATGATATAGACAAGTAATCAGACAAGCTAGGAACTATCTGGTCTTAATAAATTACTCACTAACCATCGCAAAAAATTACTCAGAATAATCTCAATCTTATTTAGTAATATTTAAAGTATACTGACTCTGGAGTAGAAAGAATTTTGGAGATATTTTCCAACAATGGCTCAGATAAAGATCTCTTTATAGCTAACAGCCATCTATCAGATATAAATGGACAATTAC